GCTGTGACAGAGCTCCCAAAGGCTCCAGGGCAGTGTGTGTGGTTTATGTGTATGTGAATGAACATGGAAAGAAAAAGTGTGTGCCATTGCAGGGTTGTGTGTCTGTGTACTTGGGTTAGGGAGGGGGCAGGGCAGGGGGCCTCTATAAATAGCCAGTTTTCCCTTTCTGCCAGAGCGCACAGGGCTTTTTGAATGAGCCGGGGGCTGAGGCTCTTCAGCACCGGAGGAGAATGCATTCCCTCATCAGTTGACTTGGCCAGTCAGCCATCACGCTCCTGCTAACCACACACTGCTAACCACGGAAAGCCAAAAAGAAAAATGATATAACTGTTTTACGGCAGTGTGTGCAGATTGCACATTGCACATCCCTCACTATTAACCTTCCAAGCTCGAAGGAGAAATTAGGGTGTTAGCCTGCACCTTCTGTAGATAAAAGCGTCTCATTCCAAAGTAATGTTGTTATTTTCAATTGATTATACACTAATAAAATCATACCTATGAATATTGTTTTTCATTTCTGCTAGTAGATCCTCCTAAATGATACACACTGGACCTCAATACACGTGTAATAGTTTTTATGTTTTTATATGAAACATAATGCAAAATTATAAGATTTAGTATACTTACATTAAGTAATTTAAGTGATATTAGAGCCCACATATTAATCATAGGTCAAAACATTGCTAAATTTGGCTGAATAATAAAAGCCATAAGTGGCACTAAATGAAGAGCCATTTGGGAGCCAGCTCTTATTGCTGAGCTGAGCCAGATCATCTGTCTCACTAAAAAGAGCTGCAATTCCCACCACTACAGCTGATTAGGACACATTCAAAGTGTGGAAATAACTGGTGAAATAAGCTGCTTGGTCGAGTTGTTACCTGCATAATATTTGGCACGTGGACACCAGCACCTTCAATTCACCTTCAGTGGTGGTGCAACACTCACATTGCAGTTTATGCTCATTTTTAAAGAAGGGGAAACAGAATATCTGTTGCTCTTTTTTGTGTGATATTTAAATGCATATATAATAGGGGTGCCTATTTGTTGCATGCAGTTTAGATGATCTAGGTTTGTATTCCCTTAACAGGCTTGTCAGTTACTTTGATTAGACTATTAGTCAATCACCTAAAATGCTAATAAAATAAAAAAGAAAATGTGTAGTTTTTCTCAAAGAAATCAAAATTATTAATAAACATTTAAAAATCCTTTTAAGTCACAGCTCTGTGTTTGACAATCCTATCAAAACATAATTTCCAATAGAAAGAAAAGAATGAAACCATCTGTCGCCTGATAGTTTGCATATTTATTTTCAGATGTTAGCTGAATATTAATATCCAAGCCTAATTCCTTTCTCACACTCATTTCCATCAAACATATGTGTACCAAACATTTGCTGCTAGAAATATTATATCTACAGCATCCAACCTGGTTTGCCTACAGTTCCTTCTGCCAACCTCTCCTACAGGATCCAAAAAATCAAACCAGTTCTTGATTCTATGTTCATTAAAAGGCCAAGGAGACAGTATGATCCACAAAGGTTCCTTGTAGCCTCAGGAGCAACTGTGCAATAGCTTTATGTAAAGAAAAACAGCCTAGTTCGGCATGTAGCTGCAATGCGCAGACCGAAGATTGTAGATGCAGTCTCCTGAAGAAAATTGAACTGAAGAATGGCTGGAAATATCTATTTCTATATATACACATATACAGATATATCTCTCTATATAGATATATATCCCTTTGTTCTCAAAATTGTCAGAGAAGGCAGAGTACACGAAGGCTCAACAGTGTGAAATCTACTTGACATTAAAAGTACTTATCCTGCACTTTTCTAGAAATCTCTTTTGTGCGGCAGAGCTGCTGCATATAACAAACCCCACTTTCTTCTACCCATTATGGAAAACCATCTACGCTGCAGATGGAACCTCCGCGGCCTCACAACAAGGACAAATCAATGACAACCACTCGGTGATTCTCTGCTGCATGTGAATGTGTCTCCTCCAGCTCAACATGCAAAAACGCAGCACCACAGGCGTCACTGCTGTCGCCTGAAAGCCGCACTCTGGTTTTTATGCTCTTAATTTCCGTACTTAATTGGAAAATTCTGTGTTGCTGGAAACATTCGATGCATATTGGGATCTGTGATATGTTCTTACAACTCATCTAACAAAGTTAAAAATGCCTGGAGACCATGATAAAGTTAAAATGGCAGAGAGAATGACTATTTGTGGACGGAGGGGTTGTTGTCTAACTAGCAGTGATATGGTTCCTCTCTGTGGTTGCATCTGAATGTTTTCTGCTGTAAGGGTTTTAATATTCTGCTCACACATGTGCAGACGCTCACTGTCACACACTCCACACACATAGAGTCCAAATGCAAGAAGAAGGTGGGGGAGGTGGGGTGTTCGGGGAGAGGACACTTGGAATAATGAGAAGCAGAGAGGCATGAGCAAAGGAGGCTCTCTAGCATGAGTCAGGCGTGTTGCATAACAGAACAGGGAGAGGGGAGGGAATCGGGGCCGGTCGTGTCTCCCTACTGGCTCCCCCCTGGCATGACACAAAGCCAGCCAGAGAGAGAGGAGGGACGGAGAGATGTAATGGACCAGAGTCGGAAGTAACTGAGTATATTTACTCAAAAGTAATGTAAGTTCAAATTTGTAATTTGCAATTAGTTGTACTGAGGGAAACTTTTTACTTCACTGTTTTATCTAGTATTAGCTCATATAAAATCGAGGAAGTTATAGTTTTTTACTGCATTAATTTAATTTTTTACTACATAAATTTCTAGCAAAACAGCAACCTTCTGCAGGCCAAAACTGGAACAGAGTATGACATGCATGCACATACACGTTATGGACGTATAAACAGACACATTCACCCACACAGAGTCTAGTCACTGTAGATGTCACCACTGCAATCCATACCTTTTTCCTGTGCATGGACCAAAGGGAAAATCACATAACACAGTAACCAATTAAAAGCATGGATGCCTGCCAAATGGAGCACTGTGTTTGTGTGTGTATGTGGATGTATAGTTTTTTCTTGTGAGTTTATGTATGTGTATATGTATGTTTTCTTGTATAATGGAGAGACAACTGTACAATAATAGCAGTATTGCTTAATTGTTAAAAAAAAAAAGTGTGTTTGTTACTGGAACACCTTCCAACAATCAGACAGGAAAAGATGAAAATATAAAAAATGCCCACATGAAGATGGCACGCAACCTACAGCTGATGACGTACTGCAGCTCACTGACCAGCAGCAAACAGTTGTACTAGAGCTGAAAAAGAACATGCTGTACTTGATCAGCAAACCCTTCTTTATTAAAGGTTAAAAGAAAATCTAAAAAGGTAAAAAAATAATCAATCTGAATTCATTTGGCAGAGGATGACAATAGTTAGTGCACAGAGGTCACTGTAAGTATCAGTGTTATTCAATAACATCCTTCCAGCCAGAACTACTTCTGAATCCATGATGTTTAAATAGCACAGACGCTCAATACACAGGCATCCCCATCTGCAGGGAGACAATGTTCATCGACATGGCAGCAGTATAGTTGAACAGTCAAAACCCTGTGAGAGCAGAAATTATGTAATTAGATCCCATCTAATTCATCAAAATTAAATGATGCAACTGAACATTTGAGTCCATGCTGAGATATTGTTAAGTTGATTTCACTAATATCTGGATTCATTCAGCTCAACAGAACATTTGATCTAATTCTTCTGTTTTTATCTACTTCAATCAGCTTGAATAATGTGGATTCAGAAGCCCTTTTACTCCAGCTACACTACATATGAATCAGTCTGATTTAGCAGTATTTTGATTTTAACTATCAAACCTACATCAAATATTTACAGATGATTTTCGCAGTCAGATTAGTTTGTATTAGCATGCCGTTAGTTCTTTATAGGTTGTGTTGTATGTCTACTTTAGCGAGTGAAATATATTTAGATAGATTTCCCAAAACTCGTCTTTTTCTCAACAACCTACCAAATAAATGGGTGTGAACTCTGCATGCTGTAAAATGTCAACAATGCTTGACATCTATTTCCCACTAGCAAGCTCCAGCAAAGCTGTACATGAATATCTTCCTGTGAAACTATCTATATTTCATCCACTGAAAGAAAACAAACTATATCTCTGGGTATCTCTCTGTGGAAGATCTTTCTCTTCGCCTCTCCTGACACATTTTATAAAATACATACTTTATATAAACAGTATGTATTAAATTTGTTGTCCTGAGGAGACCTGGCGCCCTTGTTCACGGTGTCCTTGCTGGGCAGCCAATGACAGATGGCGAGACAGGTTTGGACTGTGATTGGACACTGGCCCTAAGGATAGGAAATGATCACGAGGCCTTTGCCCACCTCACAGCACACAGGAACACAGACATAGTGACAGACAGTGAGGAGGCAAAGAGGACGGAGACAAATAGACTACAGGGGCATTTCGAAAAAAAACTGTGCCCACAATCACCTTCACATACACACTACACACACACACACACACACACACACACACACACACACACACACACACACAGTCCAGCTAGAAAACAGATGAACTGAAGCAGAGAACATTGTGTTTGGATTGGCTGAGAGTTCGATTTAAAATTGTACTTGCATGGGCAGTTGAATCTTAAATAGCTCCAGTTCCTCTGCCAACAAGGCTGTAGAAAAGCAATTACTGGGGGATAAGCTGTAAAGGTATAACTGCTTGATAAGACGGAGATAAAATGTGAAGCAGCGGCATAAACTCCCAAAGGAGGCACTGAGACTAAAATAAACAGAGAAAGGGCATGGAAGACAGTAGATGAGTTGAAAGAAAACAGTTGCTCAGTAGTCATAAACACAAGACTGTTGGTACTGTGTTCTCACTGCGTTCTCATGTGTCTAATCCCTGTTGTCCCTGTGTTGTTAAGTGTTTTCTAAAAGTTTTTTATAAAGCGTTTTTTCAACTCTACTTGGATGCGAGAAATTGATATCTGTTATCAATCTTACCCAGCATGCCCTTGTTGGGCTCTGATAGACACATGTCCTTTTCTGCACTGGGCAGCACGAAGCCGACCACAAAGATCTCCACGCCATCTGCCATCAACGCCAGCCCCAGGACAAAGTAGAGCGTCCACTGGAACTTCCCGTGGCCACACTCCTGCAGGATGGTCTCGTACTGCTGGGCCAACTCCTCCTGGTCTTTCCTCCTCTCACCCTCGTAGGCTGACAGATCCCTGAACTGCTGTGCCTGGGCGGCCGTCACCCCATCAATGCTGCCGTCCTTGCCTGAATCAGCCCTCGGGATGCCCTGGTATTCCCCCTCGTAGATCTCGTCATCCTCGTCGTGTCCCTCAGTGGAGTCGCTGTGACCTTCATCGTCATTGGCCCGGCTGTCATTGCGGTAATATCCGGCGTCGTTGCCTGGCACACCGCCGTAGTCTTCATCATCATCTTCCTCCTCAAAGCGTTTATAGGAGCGCTTGGTGTACTCGTCGGCCATTTTGTCCACGCTGCGCCCCACCTTCTTGCCGACTTGTTTCTTTGCCACTTTGGCAATGTCCTTTGCCCCGCGGATGAAATCTGAGCGGCCATCTCTGTAACGCCCGTCGTCGTCCATCTTGGGTGTTGAGGTGGTGGTCAGTTGCTGCTAGGAATGGGAGGTATCAGGAGTGGCCCAAGCACATGAGTGTGCAATGGGGATCTCTGTTAGCTGATGAATTCAGCACCACGGACAGTTCTCTGCTCCACTGCTCTGCTGCTGTTGGACTTTGGCCAGCATGCACTCGGATACCAAATCCTGTGGAAAAGCAAAGAAAAAGGTTTGTGTTAGCATGATTCATCACACTGGCAGTGTAGTGAATGTGAGCAAGAAACCTCCATTTTTAAGCACATTTTTAAACAGCCTAGGTGAGAGCCAATTTATACTGAAACACAAAGGACCATTGGCATACACATCAAGTCGCCATTTGCAGGACACATTATCTGGCTCAGCACTAATGGCTGAAAAAAAAAGGACATGACAGCTTTAAGGTGCTGACATCTGAGACTTGAAGCTCAGTGGCCTATATTGACTGAACAGCAGTTATCTCATAGCTCTTTCCTCAGCTCAGCATAAATCACAGAGTGGCATTTACACAGAGGCATCTAACATATAATGGACCACGCTGCGACACAGACATCTGTAATTAACAAGCGGGACTGCGTATAGGTCAATGTATCTAGAACGTATTACGACTGTTAGGGTTAGATTGAACTTCTTACACAGGACACTCCTGATTACAATCTGTGACTAATGTTAAAACCAGACATTTAGTCAGAACTTAATGTCACTTCATGGTGGTCCAGAAAAATGTAAATGGATTAAAACTTGTGAAATGTGTACGTGACAGATAATTTTATTTAAGAGCAAAGAAGTTTTTTAGATATCTTTTAGAAGATATGTTAACAGACTCCCTGCATTAATGGTATAAGATAGATTTGTTCTTGTGATATTTGTGTTGGTCTATTATTTACAATATCTAAATCGCAACACCTTTTAATTAATCTTTCTTCCTTCTACTCATCCAGTCTGTATCATCCTCCCTTCCCCCTGCTCTCACACACTCCCTTCCATACTTTTAATTTCCTGTCTCCATTAACATTAGTCCTCATCAAGGTGAAAAGAGAAAAATACAGGCTACGACAACAAAAAAAGGGGCCATTGTGAATCAATCAGGCCACCATGCACTTTCACATGACACTTCTGTCAGTGTGATGCTGCCCTTGTTTGTCTCACTGATGAGGACATGCTGCGCCGAGAAAAAGGCTACAAATGGGCAAAACAAACTCAGCAGGGAGAACATCATTAGCATATGTTCCAGTGAACAGTTGACATGCAAGGAATTGTTCAAATTGAAGCTTTAATACACACACAGCATCTATACATGCATAAATCAGTTTGAGCAACCCTCTACTTAAAACTCCGAGGACAGTTGTACAGAAATTGCTTTCACCTTCAAGGAATAGTTTGACATTTTGGGAAATACTATGATTTGCTTTCTTGTCTCTATGGTAAATATCAAGCTACAGCCAGCAGCTAGTTAAATAGAAGATAAAGACTAGAAACAGGTGGAAACAGCTAATAAGGCTTTGTCCAAAGGTAAAAAAAAACAATCAGAAGCTCTCACTAATTAACATATTGTATTGTGTCTCCATGGGATAATCCATACACAAAGAGAAATTTAAAAACAACAAGTTATGGTTTGACAGGGAGGTTATGTGCTCGGACTATTCCTTGGCTAATATAGTCCTCTCCTGGTTCTAGTTTCATACTTAATGGACAGAGAATTGTTAAATGGCTAAAACCTAGTCTGTGGACACTCTACTTTTCTCCTTAGTGGAAAGCAAATAAACATATTTTATATCATATTTACCAAAATGTTGAACTATTCCTTTCAATTATTTTTAAGTTTAAGTGAAGCACTTTTAATTACCTTTTTGTATAAAATGTGCTATACAAATAAACTTGCCTTGCCTAAAATCAATTGTGTGGAACTATATAAATGAGAGGACTGTGCGCTTCACACAGTGTGCCCTACAATGCTAATCAATGGAATGGACTCAAACAGTATTTGGTTCAATACCCAACAGTATACCTGGTCTACTGAAGCCCTAACCTCTGCTTGACAGTCTCTAAAATGAGACTGTTAACTGCTTGTCTGCAACAATAATATATCTCCACCATGTATGTGCTCATGACACCAAGCAGCCATGATGTGTCCCCAGACAGCAAGTGTCTGGGGAATCGATTGCAGCTGTAGCCAACACTGAAGTCATTCTAGTAGCGTCCCACAATCTCTTTAAAGAGAGCAGAAGCAGCTCAGCATGGGGGCGAGAGAGGAAACGTTCAGCCTGACTGAGCTGACAGCACGCAACAACAGGACCACAAACACTGGCTCAGTGTACTGCAGATGTACTGCAGAACGTACTGCAGGATAGTATCATGTCAAAGGGAACAGCCCGAGCTAATTTTTCATGTCCTGTCGGTCTGTTTAAACTTAAATTACAAAATGAAAAATAATATTACTGTCTCCAATTATTTTTTCTGACCTGTTTCACTGTTTAATGGCCGATGCTTCACATAAAAGTTTATCTGAGAAACTCAGAACCTCTCGCAATAAGCAATACAATATCAACCTGCAGACAGCGTGAAAGACGTCACATAAAACCTTTCATTTCACAGATTTTAAAGTAAAATGAATTCATATCAATTCAGAGTTTAAAATATTCCTACTCTCCCTCGGTCCACTGCTCACAGTAATAACAAGGGTGAGGTAGATGTGGCAGGAGCAATTCAGGCTAACATCCAGTTCTTCTGAGTCATCCTCTATTCTTTCTCTGATCCAACTCTGCAACTGTTACTACCCCTCCCCTTCCTGGTGCCCTGCCTCAACATCCCTTTTCAGCTGGAAACACTGAAAAGTAGATATTTGCTTCCTAGCTTACATTTACTGTAAATTATATCTATCGATTTACACATACTAAAAGGTATGTATTTATATTTAAGTAAGGAATGGTGGCTGCTATTGACCATTAACTCACTGATTATACATCTGTCAAGCTTTCCATTTTACATTCATAGCGTTGGCAGATTTAACATAAAAATTCTTAGTCATTTTTGAAACAATGGGCCCTTGATTAAAGACAGATGCAGACAAAAGCAGCTTCTCATTTTCTAGTTGGCATCTGTCACTTTTACTCTGTGTAGGATGAACCTCCAACTGACCGTGTAAAAGGGTCTTGCATGGAATTGTGCTGAAAGACTGAGGCTAAAGGCAACAGATTTCAAGCAAAAAGTCATCATCCTCACCAGTTAATTAAATATATAGAAGACGTGGAAATAAAGGAACAGCAGGGTTTCTGTGTTGCTCTTGCATTATAATAATGATAAGGAAAAATATATTATTTTGCATATATACAATATATATATATATATATATACAATCCTGTTTTGCTGCTTAGGCAACTACAGAAAAACCTACTTGAACGAGCAACGCAGAGGTGATTCAGGCTTTATTGTTTGTGTATTCTCAGATAACGAAAAGGCTTTGAGGATGAGGCCTAACTGATGTGTTTGACAACCATGACGCTATCTCTTGTAATGAATATTTTCTGGACAAACAGCAGGACAGAGCTGCTAACGTTAGCCTCAATTCACTCAGTGAGGAAATACTAAGTGGATGTTCAAGTCCTAAACTTGCTTTTTCTAATGTAACCTGTAATGCTACAAGATAATATAGGTAGCTATTTAAAATTCACCTTAGTTTTGGAAGCAGTGTGGTTACTACTGTAGGCAGTAAGCTAGTAGCAGAATTGCTTATAAAGGGTTCAATAATGCCTTTCATGTTGTCATACAGTGAGGATAAAAGACAGACAATAAAATGCATCATACTGTGGGTTCATGATTATTAAATATTGGCATTTTTCAAACAACATGATATAAATATGCCCCCAGTGCTGTGTATTTAATGTTGTCTCAATGTTTAGGAAGTGATCAGATTGCACTGACACACTGCAACGATCAATAAATCAATGAACCATGTAATTAATATCAGGCACACTGGAGGGGCAGTGTGAAAATAACACAGTGTAAGTGCCAATAAACCCCAAACTAACCTCGTTATTACCGTTGTTTCTGTTCATTAAAATCTTTTTAACCTATTTGTGTTACAATATCTGTGCACAATAATTTCATTATAGAGGAAAAAACAACAGCAGGAGTAACCAGACAAGAGGAGAGAGGGTAGCAGGCAGTGGGAAGGCGGGGGGGATCTTTGAAAGCTTCCTGTGCAGCCTCAGGGGTGTTGAACAGACACAGACTACTGCCAAGCTAACATCACACGACCCAAAGGTCTGCTGGGATGACTGAGTTTCTAAGAACACGCTTACTGAGAGCCAGCTGAAACTAAAACCCAAGAAGAAGGGGGGAATGTTTTGTTAGTGGTTCGATTAAATCTCCCTTCATTCTGCTTGGCAGGATTTGGACAGAGTAATACAATAAATACAGAGATTACAAAATACAGATCTACTTTGGTACTGCATCTCTTTGATCAGTTGGATATGAATAATTACTGCAACTAGTTGTCAAAAATTGAAAGCTTTGAAAAGCAAGAATTTATGTTTTATAATACTTAATCTAATTCAGTTTACACTTTCTGATTAATTTGATTTCAGATTATTTCCAAAATTAACACATTTTATTTCCTCCAGGCTTACAGAGACTCAAGGATCTGAGAAACAAGAGCCTATAGAGCAGTGCTCAGAGCTCTATGCAAACATGCTTACAATAACAATGCTATAAGGTATTTGGCCATTAACCAAAATATTTAACAAATTAAGATTTTGACCTGATGATGGCATGACATGAAAAGTTAAGGTGAGAGAGTGCCAAGTACCAAATTTCCTGGTAATCGGTCTAATAGTAACCACAAAGGTTAACCTCATTGTGGAGCAAGAGGTGGGTTCACCACAGTGAATAGGCTTCAACCTCTGGGGAGTGTGAATGTCTGTACAAACATTTATGGCAATTCATCAAATAGCAGTTAAGATATTTCAGCCTGGACCAAAGTGGTATACAGAATGACAGACAGACATTGCCATCGCTTGCATTATATATTCTCTGCTATTTCAACATGTATTCCTCTCTGGGGTTCTGCTCTTCATCGTCTGAAATAACCAGTACCATATATCACCACCACACCACTATGTTAGACTGAGCTGTTGTTTCTTGTTGTATGTTTATATATGGCTTCAGAGAGGCAGGAGGGTTTACAGGTTGCTGAACTGCACCAGTGACCAACATTTGGGGGTCAAAAACACAAACACTTTCAGGCTGAACTGCAGGAATAAACAGCCGGGGCTAAATTGATTTCTCGTGTACATCAGTGACTGGATCCTCAGTGGCACTGCCTTTGAGTCAGGTCTTGCACAATTTCTCACTTAATAGCTCTGTTCAAACCGACTGCTATAAAAACTATTTGTTGCTGAATAACAGAGTTATTGCTTGGGATTTTCAGCCCCACAACCATCCCTCAGGCTACAGGCTTTGGAGGGATTTGGACAGAAATGTGGTTTTAAGGATGAGCTCAAGTGATATGGGCCAGAGTAAAGATCCATACTACTTCCTATAGTTATTCAGACACCATTTAGTAATCCATCTATCCATCTATCCATTCACCCATATTATTATGACCCTTCATTTGGTGGTCATCTTAAGAAAAAAAAACTGTAGCTCTTTTATTTCAGCAGTTTCTCACTCTGAAGGGCAGCAACACTTCATGAGCAAATGCTGTGAAAGACATTTGGTGCTTTGTCATCATTCTGGATCTCGTCCTATGAATTGCTCATTTTTGTTTTCACTTGCATGTTTGTGATAACTGAATGACCAATTCATGAGGCTCTAGCCAGGAGATTCTGCCACGTGCCATCGACAGGCGAAACTATGGATGAAACATAAGATGGACCTTTATTAATGCCAGAGCATACAGCATAGCAGTGCAGACTTATGGAGTATAAGTTGCTCGGCTTTGACTCACATGTTCAGCTGCTGTTAAGTCAATCTGTTACTTTGGTCAGTCAGCCCCGCCCTCCCAAAAAAAAGACATGTTGACACACAGCTACACAGATTTAAACCTTTGCAAGGAATTTGGACATGTACTTTTTTACACATTATTTTTGGTTACATCTTCAAATGTCTTGTTTTGTCTGGCCAACAGAATCCAATGATATTACATTTACTATCATTTATAAGAAAGAAAAGCATCAAATTATCACATTTTAGAGGCTAGAACCAGCAGATGTTTGGCATTTTTACTTTAAAGAAATTACGAAAATGATGATCCAATTATCAAAATAGTTAATTGGTGGTAATTGGTTATACAGTGGATACGTTTTTTTCTCCATTAAAGTCTGAATACCTAACTTCCTCTAATCTATGTCTTGGAAGCGGTTTTGGAAGTGATTGCTCCATTAAGAATATATCAAAGGCCATTAGCAATGATGGTAGTGCTTGCTCACTTCTCTCAGCTCCACCCTGCTGCAGATAACTAGATTACATGGTTCAAAAACAAAACTGCCAAGAGAGCAAGTGATAAACTCCAGACTTTAAATCCAAGAGTGTATTATTTGCCTGTGGTGGAAAAAATTAAATGACCTCGTTTGCAGTTCTCAGAAATACATTGAAAAGGATGGAGAACGTGTTTGAATATGTTTAACTGCTCATCCATATGCAGGCTACACACTGGAAATACTATTCAGTGGAAGAACTAATTAAATAACAGCAGCTAGTGAAAACAAGCGGTCAGTTCCATTTGTATCTACATCAGTTTTGACATTTACCCAGCCTGCAATGCTCCCATAAAAGACAAATAATGTTAAGGGCACAGAGGAAGGTTTTACTGCCTTGTAAATATGTTGAACGTGGAGAATGAGTAAAGGGAAAGATTACTGTGTGTGTTATTGCTAAAGACATTATCACCCCTCTCCTGTAAAACAGATGCATTGTTAGGATTAATGATCTGACGGGGTCTAACAACATTAATTGCAGTGCTTTAAAAATAGATCATAATGTTTACTAAATCTGATACATAATGAGTCCCAAAATGGTCCTAATTTTTCTTTCTCTATGTGAAATGCTACAGTGTGCAATTAAGTGTCATCCATTGTGAACTACCAGGTCTGCTGCCTGAAAATGGTGACAAGCAAAACTGCTTCAATTCATGTTACCAAGCAAGTATTATTATTTACATTGTGCACTAAACCCTTCAGATAAAAGGGTGGAACTTGAATATACATTTTTCACATATAGTAAAGAGGAATAACTAAGGAATTTGTCCATAATTTCCTTATAATTTCCAGTAGTATTCAGGAGTGAATAATTTAATTTTGCACTGACTACTGGGAAAATAGAGACATTGTTAAATTAGTACACACACATTAGCTGGAAATGCCAAAATGTTTGAAATATGTGCAAACATACAGTATATGTGATCTAGTGTCCAATAATAAATGAATACTGAATGAATGCTTACTTTGGTTCAAAGGGATTTTTAATTTCTTCACTGTTTTGACATAGTTCTATCTAACTTTGTTAAAATATAATACAAATATTGTGTTTTGTATCAAACTATAAGGTGACTGTATCATTACAATCATCCTCTGCATCTACATTAAAAGTCTCCTCACAGTGGGTGGTTCTAGTCTTATCAGATTTAGAGCTCAGGTTACCTAAATAGAGAAAATGGCAACTATTTATTTCTTAAAGGATTGGTTTTTGGAAAAGGTCATTTAAACTGGGGCTTACTGTATGTGGTTTATATTGCGGCTTCTTGTTACAAATCACTTTGTCCTGTATCAGCCTTCAGTATCACCTCTATCTCCTGGTCTACCAGTTTGGTGCAGAGGCTGACAATAAACCTGTATTTCCTGGCTCCAACTTTAGACATTGTGTAGCTGGAATCGTATACACCCATCTCCACACAGTGACTCAATCAATTTTCTATCTCTCTCTGAGGAATCAACCGATTGGTTGATCCTCCTTCGTCACCATGGTCACGACCTTTGTACTAGGAGACTCTTGAGGCCCATCTGAATGCAATGAGGAAACCCATCACCATCCGATTAGCCTGTCACAAGGTGGAGATAATGAAATGAGAGTAGGTGGTGGTTGACTCTCTGCCTATGAATTACAAATACTTTCCTAGTGTGCACATGTAGGGTTATTGTGCAGCGGTGGCTGCTTTTCTTGTATGAAACTGACCTCCAATGAAGGCTTAATACATTTTGGAGTAAAGTAAAAATAGATAAGCTCACAATATAAAGAGTTATTGTGAGACAAAGTAGTTTTACAAACTGTTCTGGCATCTCTAATGAAGTGTAAATTGATAATAAATGAACAGTTAAGGGGGGGACGGAGAGAAAACCCAGGCTGTCGTTTGCCGCTGATGAAAGACTTAATTATGTAATTCCATTTTCTTCTAGGGAGCGGAAAAGACACCAGAGGGATGGAAAGCCTTATACACTTGCACAACTGAACACACTAACCTATGTGCAACATACAGTGTGGCAGGATAAAAGCATGCTAACAAAAGATAGCAGGAAAAAAAATTGGAGCTAGATGAATCATGATGCCTTGGGACCTACATGCAGCACCAAATAATCATAGTTCATTTGGGGATGTAAACCAAAGAAAATCATAACTTTGTTTGTTTTATTGCAACATTTTATTACTTTAATACTATCTTTTCTCCCTTTTCCTGGGTGGATGCACCACTTATAATGGGGTTTTGTGTGGTCTAGGTTGGAGTGCCTGGGACATGAAGGCCTGGATGCTAAAGGGGATGAGGAGTAATGGCCTCAAGATCAGGCACTTTTTTATTTTTAAACTTACAATGGATCAGGACAAACTTACAGAAAATTATGACCCAACTCAGTGACTGAGCAATAACCCTCAGCTCTGTCTTTGAGCTCCTTGTTTTAATTTTATGGCTCATGACTTTACTGTTTCTGTGTTCATTCTCACCACTTTCATCAGCTGTTTCCTGTGGCAGCAGCAAAGAGTTTTCAGAGACAGACCTGATAAATCAACTGCACTCTACTAGCCTTGCACTTAATGGAAGGAGACAGAGTTAGCAACTACTGTAGATGGTGAACATGGTGGAGCATTTAGCAGCTTAAGAGGCAGATATTTCCCTCTGGAGTTGATGGAGACCAAAAAAGTGCTAAAATGAGAGGACCAGAAACACAACTCCATGAATCCTACTGTTACTACTCAGCTGAATGTGTAAGGAGGCAACTGTTTGCTAGAACATTCGCCATAAAAACCTTACGAGGTCAGTATTTTGGTATAGTGGTAAGGAAAATATATGCTGTTTTGTAATTTGGGTGAACTGACCCTTTAAAGTAGAGCTTTTGGAGAATTTCATCTGTAGCTAGTAAGGTAGTAATACATGATTATGTTATTAATATTTCATCCCAATAGCTACAGCAAAAATATTGCAAGAGTTTAGGTAACAAGGAGCCTTTAGTTGTGATTATAAATAATGCATTAAACAGCATAACTCAGAATCTGGTGATATTTTATACTGTAAGCTTCAATGATCTACAACACTATTTCACTCGTCAGTAGAGTAGCATATTGGGAATATTACATTTCATTTGTAAATCTTCTGCCCACATCTCAACTATTTACTTTTCAGAGGAGCACTGGAGATCTCCAGCTGCTACTCAAGGAGTTATAACCACATTAGTCCCGTCTCTGACAAGGCAGTTCTTTCAACACCAGTGCATAACCTCCATTCATAACTCTCGCTGATAGCCTTGAGCATTTAACAATTACTCTTTATTGCACTGTTAAAACGCATGCGTTAAGAGCATCTGCTCAACTGAGCTGCTCAAAATAGATTTCCCCCACTTTCACATCAGGCCTTGGCACTCGATGATAGGAGCAGGACATTTTATTTAGTGGAAATACAAGAGCCATTTAGCAGCGGACAGATTTTGGCAGGGAAATAGACAAGCATTGACTGGGCTCCGAGAAGATGGATGAGGAGGAAGGAACCAGTTCATATACAGCACTGCGACCGTCGCCCTTAAACCACTTGACTCACTGAAAGCATTCTCTGAATAAACTAGCTTTGATGAAATCCCATCACACTCACAGTTTGATTTATTTTCTTGACAGCATGAGGCGGAGTTAATATCTTTTCTTCTGCTTCCTCTCTTTTCCCTGACGCCTGAGTAAGACCTATAGAAAAATGTTAATAGCGGCTTTTTATTATTGAATTTGATGGATAACTATCATGTTGACATAAACACATCGTGTTTCAGTCACTTCACATTTTTGTGGAGTAATTTAATGACATTACTGGTGTTCACATGATTGAAAAAGGCACTGCTGCTTCTTTGATCTGGTTCACTTACTTTAGTTTGATCTCATTATGACAGGCACAGATACAGTATGTGTGCACTGTGTAGTAATAGGTTAGGTGTCAAACTACCAGAGGCACAGGTGTTGTTTCAGCATCTAAAAGACACAAGACAAATGTTTTCATTTGAGCTGGACAATAAACTGAGATGCTACAGCTGAAAAATATTTATATATACAATATGTTTGAAGAGAATTAAGGATACAAATTTTACTCCTTTCAGCACAATGCAACGTATAGCATCTTATCCATAAATCATCAAGCATCACATTACGACAAATCAGAGTCAATCAATATAATACAAATCAACATTTTCATATAAACAATGGGTCAAAATTAGCCTGGCATCGCCAGACTAATTCACAAATGCAAATTTGTTTGGAACCTTTCTCTTAATTTCAGATTTCCAGGAGGCGTTGCCAACAGCTAGACTAAAAAGCTTTGGGACACAACTGGACATAACTACAACCAATCAGAGTGTGACATAGGGCTGAACAACATATGCAAGTTGAGGTGGAGCTTGGTCTCTTGTAAAGCAGGAAAAAAAATCCAGACTGGTCACAAACTTTCTCAAATTACAGCTAAACAGCGCACTATAAAAATAATATTTCAGATGGGAAAAGGGAATGCAGTAACAGAATCTGGATTCATATTTGATCAGCACTGCCTAGTTTGACAGTTTGATCTGAGTTCATGAGGATAGACCTGCATGTGCATATTAACTCAACAGTTGTGATTGGTCCGACCGGAATTATGTTTGGATAGTCAGTAATGTCAATGTGTTGAGTTGCCCCAGAGAGGCCAAAATCAATTAATACAGGTTTAAAGCAATATACGGTATCATATTAAGACAATCCAAGCTGCATTAAACTATACTTATGGGTTGCTTTTGACATAAAGAAACAGGAACGGAAATGAGAGCTGTTCTACCAGTGCAAAAAGACCTGAGAGCCTTCAGAGTTCCTGCCAAGAACATAATGTAACAAGGCAAATAGGGATGTTGAAAAGCAGAGCAACAGAGAAAACAAACACACCCAGAGCAACACCAGCAAGAAACGGTGTGACAAGCAGCAACAACCTCCAACAGGAAACATTGGGTATTTTAGGAAATGTGGTAATTAAACTCCATTGTGTCCTGCTGTGCAACCAAACTTTGTTCAAACACCAGTATGTACTCCATATATATATATGTCAGGCTAGGTTTGGAGTAAAGCTTCAATGAAGAGTTGGAACAAGTCTGATTAAGAGAAATCTTGACAATGACCTTAGTGTCAATGATTTATTCACTTAAATTTCTACTTCATGCCTCTGAAAGGTCTCTGAGAGGTCTTGAAACAGTCTCTCAATTGTTTCTGCTACTGTGGCTCCCTCTGTGCTTGAGATAGATCATTTTCCATTTGAATTTCTCGCGTTCGTTTAAAGTTGCATCCAATTAACAGTCCCTCGTTTGCTGCCAGGATGAGTCATTCCAGTCTCCAAATATAACCTGATCTTTCATCACCACAAAGATTAACACCTTCACACATACACACAACTTCAAGCATAAACTTTCCATTACGCCTGCAACTAACTAAAGTTATTTTTTTATCGATTAATCAGCAGATTAATAGTTTGGTCAATAAAATGTCCAAGATGGCATCTTCAAATGTCCTGTTTAAGCCAACTAACAGTCTTAAACCCAAAGATATTTACCATCACATAAGAAAAAGAGAAGCAGGAAATCTTCACAAATGAACTGCAACCAATGAATGTTTTTCAGTTCTGCGAGAAAGAAAATTATAGATTTAATACAGTTCATTTCTCAATATTTTTCTGTAAATTGACTAATCAATTAATTGTTTCAGCCCTCCTCTTCATCACAGACACATACAGTGAAGTAAAGCTGTGCGATTGGAATTTATAAAACTGTTTTTCAAATTTTAATATACAGTATCTTGTGATGTGCAAATATATGCAAAATCAGAATGAATTTAATGTATGTTCAAAATAACGAAATGTGGTCTACTTTTATACATTACATCAAAGATAAACACTATGATGAATCACTTATAATTACAATTTGCTTGGAATTCAGTTCAACAACAGACGTTTATATGAAATAAATAACACAATACAATAATACGATCAACGGAGTTCCACTGAAAGTCAATAAATATGAGTTATTAGTTCTCTCACACAGTCTTACAGTGCACATGCTGTGTCTATACTGTAGTTTATTGTATTTTTGCTGCAGTCTTTTCTCAACTTCCATCCACACATTTACACACTGAATTAAATCTCGATGCTCATTTGACGGCACAGATGCGGCAGTTAGCAAGTGTGACAGAGACGAGCATGAGTGATGATAGTCTGTGTGCATGAACACAGACGTGTGTGCCAGAGAGTGAAAAAGAAATGCATGTGTGCAAAAGTGAGAGATTAATGCAAGCATGTATGTGTGTGTCAGAGAGAGAGAGAGAGAGAGAGAGAGAGAGAGAGAGAGAGAGAGAGAGAGAGAGAGGTGGGAATGATTAGGTCAGTGGTGAATCCTCAGAGCTGCAGATGGCTGGTAATGTCATGCAGCGCTGAATTAATTTCTCTTGACATCTTTGATTTCTCGTTGTGACGCACACAGTGAATTTTCTCCTCTGATAGATTGTCACTGAGGCTCAGCTCAATCCTGATCAAGATGACATGCTGATAGCGAAAGCAAGGTTTCATTCCTGAGCCACTACATTATCCATTTTGACAGAAAAAAACAAATCACCAGCTTAACTTTAATATTCACTATTTTTTCCAAGATGCAGGCTGGTCAAATTATACAATATTATGTTCTTATTCTGTGTTTTTTATGGATTGAATGGCTATCTGAGGTTTTTGTCCAGACTCACTGTTCAAATGTCATTTTAGAACAAAACTTGACATAGTTTCTTAGCAACACCAAGTGCTGTAATCACCGTGGTGAGAGATGAAGTGGTGGCCAGTAAAAGAAAACTCTGGCACATCACAACATCTGTATGATCCATGTGTCATAACCACTTAACTCAAAATTGGCTTTTAGTACAGCTTTTTCTTACAAAATGCAGTAATTAGTCCTCACAGCCCACTAAGATGCACATAAAATACTCCTGAAGCACACAACAATATAATCGATCCACTGGATAGCCATAGATATCCTAGTTGGAAAGTATATTCTGCTCTCATGAGTGCATCAGGAGTGTTGCATTCTGGGTCGGGTCAGCACGGCGCACACGCTTGCTTTCCCCCTCAAGACTCAGTCAACAAACACCTACGCTCATAATAAAGCACACTGTGGGCTGCCATGATGGGCTCAGACCACAGGAGGAGATTAAATTCAGCCGTATGTTCATTTCAAATCAGCTCGCCAAAGCAGAAAAGGGAGACAAGGCAGCTGTCTATGTACATATATCTAATATTAACTGTCTGTACAGACTGCTGAGTAATAGGAAACAAGCTGCTGGGAGAGTAGTAAAGCTTTTGTCATTCAACTTATATGCATTTCATGAACGTTTTAAATATAATTTTTCAATAATGTCTTCAGCTGTAGCAATGTTGCTCGGTCTGAAAATGTGTTCACACATTGTTTTTAGTTATTCAGTGAAATATCTCAACGTGTACTTAAAGGATTGACACCAAATGTGTACAGATATCGACAGTCCCCAGACAATGAAACCTAATGACTTTGATGATCTCCTGATATTTCCTCTAAGGCCATTATGAGGTTTTGGGTGAAATATCTCAACAACTATTGGATGGATTGCCTTTAAATTTGGTGCATTCACATTCATGGACCCTCGCGATGAATTGTAATAACATTGGTGATCCTCTGACTTTCAATATGGCACCATCATGAGGTCAAATTAGTATGCTAACATGCTAAAATAAGATGGTGAACATGGTAAACACCTTACCTGCTAATCATCACTATTCTAGTCATAAAGCAGCAACCCATGTGGCTGGCAAATAAAGCTTACACGGAATTGACAAAAACTGCAGTTCAAATGGCCACTTCAAAGATGGCGACCACGAGAGCCGACCACACTGAGCTTCATGCGAAATCATAATCAAGAGTCAGTTTTCTTACCGTATTTTCTTTGCCACTGTCGCTAAGTGCTTGCTCAAGGTGGGAATTGTTGGTAACAGTCTTGACCTACTCTATATGAAAAGTGTCCTGAGATCACTTCAGTTATGATTTGGTGTTATATAAATATAATAATTATATACTTTATATAAATTAACATACAATAGTCTTTCTTAATTTTTGGAGTATTTATTCTGAAGAGTAGTTTTCTTGCTGAAATGATTTGTATGTTTAGCAGGCTTGAGGAGGTTAAATCAATATTAGCCTCTGATACTAATCAGAGTAATATAAACTCTTCCTGTGAGTTGGTTTAATAATGTCCCCCATCACTGGTAAAGTCATTGAAATGTCCTCTAAACAGGGTGAGGTGGAAAATGTAGTATTCTTTTGAATCCATTACAGACACACACCAGCTTTTACTCATCATTCTAGCCCAGTAAAAGCCTCTTGTGGCAACTCTTAATCTCAGCCATCGACCAGCAGTTTTCATCTATCCTCCTCATCCATCATTTTTCTATCAGCTACTCCGGTCTGAGCTTCCAGGGGAGTCCTGCTGAGGCTGTGTGAGGGATACATCAATTATTCATGTCTTGTTCTCTGGCCACAAGGACAGCGGTGCCAGAGTCAACTCGGCCCTCAGCAGTGATGTATTGGTGCGATAAAAAAAAACCTCTTCTCACAGCAGCCTCGGTCCAGTTCCTGCTCATCCGCACCAACCACAGTGTGACATCTGCACAGAGTCACGAAGGAAGTGACAGTTTTATTCAGCTGCACCATGTTCCTGCATGGCTTCAGGCCAATCAAGGCTAACAACATAACAGCAGCCTGAGAGGAGGGTGTGATGATTGGTTGTTAGGCTTACTGGGTCATAGCTCCTCCCCAGCTGCAAAGTCCCCTTTGGGAGAATCTGCAGCCTTACATGAGTCACGTCATTGTTCCCCTGCTTGGGCTCTTAGTGTGCACCGTCACCCTGGTGGCACCAAGGCAGCTAGCAACACCATGTCAAACACAGTGACG